TAGTATTTAATATAAATATATATATAGAAATATATATATACATTGTAAATATTATTATTATTATTTACCTACAGTCAATAATAAATAAATAAATAATAAATTATCACCCAGAATTAATTTAATTATTATCAATTTTATTTTATTTTATTTTATTGTAGGAACAAGTTCAATGAAAATGCCAATGGTTCCTATTTTATTTTAACTAAAAAGAATTCTCCACTCCGTACTAAGTTTTACAATACCTTTAATGAGGAAACGCTTACCATCAACAAATATCGTCAAGTGAGTTTGCCGGAGGTGTGTATATTTCGCTTACATGATGTACTTTTCATTGTCACATTTAGTTACTACATACTTAAATAGCGATATTATGCGATCGGCCAAAGCAAATTAACAATTAGAAATATTGGATGAAACCTGGGTAAGCAATTAACAAACTCACAGAAAAATATTGTTATTAAAAAATAAAGATACTGGGAGGTAAATCTAATCATTTTGACTTCATGATGTAAAGATTGCATTTTCCTTATTCAACATAGAAGTGAATAAAAAATAACATTTTTGAGGTTGGGTAACCGTGAAGCACTTCTACATAGTATTACACTCGGATTTCTTCTGCAATAAAAGATTGATGGATACTATTGAACACGATTGAAATGAATATTCTCTGTATTACTTTTTTGTACCACAAACGACGAATGGAGTGATGTGCACGTGAATTCATGGTGTTTTTAATTACTTCTAAACTGTGATGGCGTTTCCATCAACGTGGTGTAAAGGTTCAGTCACGTGATGAAATGATGAAATGAAATCGACATTTTCTTTGCAGGTATCTCCATTTTCACACACATACAGAACGTGTTCCGTTGTCGGGAATGTAGGAATACTGAATGGCAGTGAATGTGGTCGGCGCATAGACAGCTCACAGTTTGTAATGAGGTAAATTGATCCATTGCTTCTTCGTCGGAGGGCTGGTTATATGTTGCAACCGCCCTCCCCTGAATAAGTACCAGATTTACTTGGAAATTTAGAGTTGAACTGACGACATGTTTTGTTTAAGACGTTTCCTATTTCCCGATTGCTATATTGGCATCTGCGTTCTTTATATATACTTAACTATATAACTTCACTCACGTTATGGAATATACATATATCAATTAATTGCACATAAAAATGCGATCGACAGAACTTTGTTATTGTCGTGTTATAGTTGTATGAATACTAATTATTTCGATGGCTTTCATGTCATGCAGTCGTTCCAATGCTATGTATTCACGTGTTTTCTCTTTTTAACATTGTTTTCAAATGGAAAGGACGAATATACAGGCAATTCTACAGTTTCAACACGATGCAGGAAGACGATCCAATTTAACCACCATGAATCCTGACTGCTGGGAAAGGTAAATGCGACAGGATGTGCCTTTGTAAATTTTATAATTCCAGTTGCATTTTGTGAGTTGAGTCAGCAACTTTTTAATGGTGGATTCGTTCTATCCAAAAAGAGCCAAGGCCAGATTTAATAACATAATTGCTAAGTAATATTATGAATATTTTAAGGCAAATTTTGACGTACATTATGAGTACGATTCCGGGTTGTTGTCTACACACTATTTGTGATGATTACTTTGATGCTACTTAATGCTTAAAAGGCGGTGGTCGTCGCGCTGCGCATGTGCGACATTTGTGTTGATAAACATTGATTTTCCTACAATCCAAAGCCTTTCTAATTGAAATCACAAGTACGAGGTTTGACCTGGGCGCGACTTGCACTAATTACCGCCCTTGACTCCTTCCATACATCCAATCACCTAAACAAATACCTAATTA